ATTATGCTAGGGGAAATAAGTCAATCAGAGAAAGACAATTATCATATGATCTCACTGATATGTGGAATTTGAGAAACAAGGCAGAGGATCATAGGGGAAGGGAGGGAAAAATGAAACAAGACAAAACTAGAGAGGGAAACAAACCATAAGAGACTCTTAATCTCAGGAAACAAACTGAGGGTTGCTGGAGTGGTAGGGGGTGGGAGGGATGGGGTAGCTGGGTGATGGACATTGGGGAGGGTATGTGCTATGGTGAGCGCTGTGAATTGTGTAAGACTGATGAACCTGTACCTCTGAAACAAATAATACATTATGTGTTAATAAAAAGAAAAAAAAAACCCATGTGTAATATCTGTATGTCCGCGTAGTCACTTGACGAAGGGAAAAAAAGCCATTAAACGTATGGAAGCCACCAACAGCCGATATTGGAGTTGCTCTTTGAATACTTAATGGAGATCTGGCAGTGAGTGCTAAATAATAATCGATAGTTAGATCAGAAATAAAAGTTAAGTCTTATCCTATTATTATGAAGTCTTACGGCTATCATTTTGAGTCCTATAGAACTATGGCCATAATGGAGAAGAATCTGTGATTTCCCCTCCGGAGTAATTTTTGTAGATGGCCTGAACAATAGCTGAAGAGTAAAAATATGCATTTTTTCAATATCATTGGTTCTTTTGTTTAAGAATCTGAATGTCTGGGGCACCCGGACCTGCATTGGACTCCACACTCAGCGGGGAATCTGCTTGAGATTCTCTCTCTCCTTTTACCCTTTGCCCCGTGCACTCTCTCTCTCAAGTAAATAATCTTAAAAAAAAAACCTGAGTATCTTTCAGGAGCACCCCCCCCCCCGTGTGCTATGCTCCGCTGACTGTAGAGGCTGGAGGGGATGAGTCATGGAGAGGCAGGACTTTGTGTCAGATTACAGGAGCCTGCCCAATCTGTGGGGCCCCAGTCTTCTAGATGCGGCTTCCTCAAGACTTGCTAGTTTTGGTTTGTTGAGAAAGCGACTGGTGGAAAGCGTGTCGTAGGGAGGGAGGGGCTGCCGTTAGCCACAGCAGCAGCCCCCACAGGGCTGCAGAGCGCTTTCCCCATGATGGTGTTCTCCTTAACCAGTGCCTTGCATTTAGCAGTTATTTCATGAGCAGCTTTCTCGACAAATGTATCCTCATCCAGCAGCCCCCTCCTTCGCTAGTGAGTGAATCCTTGCACTTGAGGAATTCCTTGTACACTGGGAAGTACCTTATAAAATAACGAAGGTCAGAGTCTTATTAATTATAGATGTGTGATTCATGGTACTTCTTATTAGATACATGTTGGCTCAAAAAGTTTTCTAGGGGCACCTGGGTGGCTCATTCGGTTAAGCATCCAACTCTTGATTTCGACTCAGGTCATGACCTGAGGGTCATGGGATCGAGTCCTGCTTTGGGCTCTGTGCTGGGCATAAAGCCTGCTTGAGATTCTCTCTCCCTCTCAACTCATGGTTACTCTCTCTCTCAAAAAAAGAAAGTTTTCTAGGGTTTAAAAATTATTATTTTTTGCTTTTGATGAAGGAATCGGAGAACACATCCTGAAAATGGAGGCAACGCCTCTTCACATTTACTATTTGGCATTTTATTTACTAGTATTTGTTCTGCCCAGAATATTAACATGGTTAAACTAGAACCTGCAAAACAGTTATAACCAAATAAATCTAAAGAGGAATCATGGCTTGATTTGACTGAGTGTTTTATGTTAACATAAAATAATGTTGACAAGTTTAGATTTATTTCAGTTGCTATTATCTCCTTTTGGGTCAACTACAAAGATAAAGTATGCTTCAGATGACCTTTCTGAAAGCATGACTGCAATAAACTGGCCAAGTTATGCTGGCTGGCATTATCAAAAAGCAAGCATGATGCTATTTGCATATGGTGCCCTGCCAGGCTTTCTGCACAACCGGGGTCCGAATGTTGGAACAGGTACAATATGATGCCTCAGCTGGAGAAATTTCAATCATTAAAGGAATTTGCTGTTAAGGAGAGCTTTGTGGACAGTGATCTCGCTCTGAAGGACTCTTCCCATTCCATTTAATTTTGTTTGACAGTGTAATATTAAGGTAAATTAAATGCAAAAGACAATCATTAGTTCTTCTTACCCAAGTCTTCAGATCGGAAAGGTGCTACCAGTTTTCTTCCTTGTAGGCCTTTGTGTCGGATGACACAGTCCACTGTTGAACTTTTGCCCAGTGTGTGGATTCTGAGGATGCTGCTGCTGTTACATTTCTTCCCATCAGTTTCAAATTCATGGTGGGTTTCACCTATGGAGCGGATTAAAGAAGTGCAAGAGGTTGTGGCTACTTAATACCCTTGGGTGGGTTTGGTTCTCGGGGACCGATGGTCTTGACATCTTGGCAAAACTGTTAGACTTCTAAGTCATTCTAGATTCGGTCAGCTGCCTTGTACATGCCTGGCCCAGTCACAGGGGGAAGTAGCTGAATAACAGTGGTTAGGTTTCTGTAAACCTTCACTACTGGAAAAAAAATCCAAAGCTTATCATGGTTACACAAGGACAGCCTGATGTAGTCAAACACAAAGACCCAAGACCTTACTCAGGGTGAATGAATAAGGCAAATGAAAGGAGAGGTCTTATAATGATGTCGAATTGGCATTGGACTGGATCTCTCTCTGATTATGTAAAATCCAATGGAACATACATTACAATGTAAACAAACTATAAACAGTTCTCAAGCATGACCATTAGTTATCTTGCTTCAGTCAGTTGAACCCTGCTTTAATCTAATCAAAGTTAAATTCTTTGGTACCATAATATATTTTTTTAAGATTTTATTTATTTATTTGACAGAGAGAGAACACAAGTAGGCGGAGTGGCAGGCAGAGGGAGAGGGAGAAGCAGACTCCCCACTGAGCAGGGAGCCCGACACAGGACTCGATCCCAGGACCCTGGGATCACGACCCGAGCCGAAGGCAGACGCCTAACGGACTGAGCCACCCAGGCGCTCGGTACCATAATATTTTTATTGAGGGTATGACATCGCAGTGTACTTTATAAGGAGGAGCTTACCTGTTCCAATATACAAGCATTATGTTAAATGTATTTTCAAATTTATGGCTGCTAAAAAGTTCATGCTGAGGGAATAGCTATATCATACCTATATATGAAATTATGTTGAATTTTAAGAAACCATAATATCCCATTTTAGGTTTCTACTTTGTTTTAAGTATAAACATGTAATCAGATTATTTGTGATAAGTTTTCAAGATGAAGGCACAGTATTGATAGGTTATAAAGTTAATTTGTCTGGAAAAAACTGACAAATTATTGAATGTTATTTGCTGGCACCTGATACCACCAGAGGGTGCCAGAGGATTTAAAAATTCCTTGGAAGTTTAAGTAGGAAGGAAAACAAAGGAGGAAAGAGAACCATGTCCCTACTTACCAGAGAGCTCTATGCCATTGCCTAAAATCCAGGTTATCTGCGGAGGGGGTTTACTTCTCACGGTGGAGCATTTAAGTGTAATGTGTGCTTTTCCATTTTGCATTCTGATAACTGAAGCTTCCAGAGTCGGCATGGAAGGTGTTGCTGGAAGAGAATTGATTTTTCTTTGCTCAGTGAGCAGGTCTACATATCCCAGTAAAGCACGGAGTCTGATAATCTATAGGGATCATTGTAGTGTATGGTCTAAATAAGGGGCATTTTTTTTTTTTTAACTTGATCTTTCCCAGAATACAGTTACAGGGCTTTTAGATACTTGTAAAGCTACCTTGGCTGTAGTCCACATTGCTTGTTACTCAGTGTATGATTAGCCCCTGGAAATTCCCAATGGTACAACAACAGTTTTTACACTTGCTATCTGACTGTATTTGATTGGTAGAGCACTAGGTGAAGAGTACAGACCTGAAGTCTAGTTCCATCTGTCACCAGTTATTGAAAGCACCATTGTATGTCCCTCCATGTTTTGGTGGATCAGTTTCCTTGTCTGTGACATGAAGGAATTGTTTTATGAGTTGGCTGTTTCAGTTCTAGACTTGCATGAGTGTATGACTCAAAGTGAGTTAGTTCTGTCCCCTCCTAATATCAAAGATGCATTTCTCTTACCAAGGGCCCATTTGTCCTTTTTTTCCTACTGCTGTCCTGGAAATAGAGTTGACCCTTGAACAATGTGGGGATTAGGGGCGCTGACACCTCCCCTGACCACCACACAGTTGAAAATCCATGTATGACTTTTGGCTCCCCCCAAACTTAACCAACAGCCTACTGTTGATGGAAAACCTTACTGATAACACGAACAGCTGATTAACACCTATTTTGTATGTGGTATGTATTCTACACTGGATTCTTACAATAAAGTCAGCTAGAGAAAAGAAAATGTTATTAAGAAAATCATAAGGAAGAGAAAACATAGTACCAGACTGCATTTATTTTAAAATTTTGCATATAAGTGGACCTATACAATTCAAACCTGTGTGGTTCACGGGTCAAGTGTACTTTTTAAGTAGGCTAACTTCTTCCTCTTTCCCATTCTACTTCACACTTTGGTTCAGCACACTTTCACGTTGATTTGCTCATTTATCTGCCATTGAGACATTGCAAAGTCAGCTCCAAGTATGCATGGGATGTGTTAGATGCTGGCAGTAGAAACATGGAAAAGATAAAGCCCTTTGAGGGGCTAGCAGTCTGGTGATAGACTCAGCCGCTAAGCTGTTAGTTAAAAGATCATGCGTTAAGTGTACTGTCAGACGTGTGCGGGGAGTGTGAGAAGAGCCTACAAGGGCACACGGCTCTGAGCCGTGACCAGTAAGGTGGGCTGAGTCTCATCGGTTCTCAACGCCCCTAGGGAGCCATTCCTTCCCAGGTACTTTGTCCCCGTGCCTTTACTTTATGGCAGGCACTATGCTATTTTAATTCAACAGAAGAAGCCTAAGACATTCATTTGTGATATGTGGAATCATGTCACTTAGAGGTCAATAAATAGTGGTGTGTATAATTGATCTGAATTAGAGATCAATAAAAAGTGATGTTTATAATTGATCGGTTCTGTCACAAAAAGCAGAAAAGTAAAGACAGCAAGGCTTACACTGAATACAGTGGACCACCCACAGAACTGAGTGAGTCCCAGGAGGCTATCACTTCCTATCCACACCTCCCAACCCCACCTCCCACCGGAGGAGAGGACCTGGTTTTGGCAGAGGATGTGAGCCAATTGTCCGGTGCAGTTACATCTGAATTCATTCTACCTTGGGATATGCTGTTGTTAGGTTCTACTTTATTTACATACATGTTTAGCTGCTTAGACTAGGGTGCCAACTCCTTGTGGGTGGGGATCATGCCTGATTCCTCTTTGATTCCTTGGAGCTTAGCACAGAGCCTGGCGCATAGCAGCAGCTTATCAAGTATTAATTCTCCTTTCTCTTAGTTCCTTAGACAGGAAACTTCACTGATGCCAAAGACAAATTTCACAAAGTCACATTTTCATCTAGGGCTCACCGGTCAAAATGCTCCTTTCTGTTTTCCTTTCAACAAAAGATGGTAGAGGTGCCCGAGAAAATGCTTTGCTCGGGCAATATTCCTAGCTAAAATGTGAAGTTTCAGAATGATCTGTCCTGTTCCTAAGTCTGTCGCTCCCGTGCTGGGTTTGCTGGCTGTCAGGCACCTACCTAGCACGATCACTTTTACTTCCTTTGTTCTCACCGAGTTGCTGTAATGTAAACACTTGTACACGCCTTCATCTTGCTGGGTGACATTAAGCACGCTGATGGAGAGCTGATTGGTGGAGTGATGAAGCAGCTGGTATTTGGAATTTTTTAAAGCTGGACAAGAGGGAAAAAGAGCTGTTAGGAAGAAAGCGATCAGATGAATACAGTCTCTCAGTGGATTGATTATTCGCAGGAATGGCTTTTGAATTTCACACTTTGACGGAACAAATGTCACATCTTCAATTGAGCTGCCTTCCAAATTCTAGTGTTCCCAGCTGGATGCCTCTCAATAGCTCTACATTCATTTAGGAAATGAAATATTTTGATACTGGGATCTGTGAAATAAACCGTTTGCTTTTCTTGTGCACGTAGGAAATTAACACTATGCTGGTGAAGGGTTCGGGTTGCAGGATGATTTTTTTTTTTCATTTTTTTACATTATGAAAAATGCCCCAGTAGATTTACCTCTTTGAAATCTGATTGATTTGAGGTTGTCCTGTCACAATGGATGTGAAGAATGGAAGATAAATGCATGGCTCTCCATTACTCCATTTGGGTGTTTTTATTTTTAAAGATTTCATTTTTAAGTTAATCTCTACACACAGTGTGGAGCTTGAACTCATAACCCTGAGATCAAGAGTTGCATGCTCTACCGACTGAGCCAGCCAGGTGCTCCTTTTATTTTTAATTTTTTAGAAGTTTATTATTATTATATTTTTATATATATTTTATATATATAATATATATAATTAATTTTTTAGAAGTTTATTATATTATATTTTATACATATTTTATATATGTATTATAATAACTATTATTATAGTTATATAGCAAGTGTTTGGTTTTTTTTTGTTGTTGTTGTTGTTTTGTTTTTTGATTCTATATTGACCTGGGATTTCTATCTTAGGTCATAGGTCCCTTAGCAAATCAGAGTTTCTTGAAATGAGTGGTTTTGTCTCCCTCTCTCTCTGGATTTGTAACATAAACAAACCTAAAATAGTTAACCCTTGAATGGCTGACCAAGAAAGGTTGTTTGTCCTCTGAAATCATGGCTGTGTGTCCTGGGACACTGATGGTACCTGAGCTAGAATTCAGGCATCTCAACCTCAACAGTATTGACTTTAGAGCCAGGTCAATCCTGGCCTTGCTGCTCATCAGATGCTAGACTCCCCCTGCCCTTCTCCAGTTATAACAACCCAAACTCTCTCCAGACATTGCCGTATGTCCCCTGGAAGGCAAGAATGACCCTTGACCCTCAGCCCTTGGTTGAGCATCACCAAGTTCAATTAAGGTACTCTGCTGTAGAAATTTGAGAGTGCCCATCTTCTCCCAGTTTACTAAAAACCAGACCAAAACAAGAGAAAGCATTATTTAACAGGAATGATCTCTACTCACAGTTTTTCTCTGAGAACTTTTAACAGTTAACATCTACTTACTTTATTGGTTCTACTGTTAATGGTTTATTTAGCTTGAAATATACGGTTAGTTTACACTGAACGTAGCGATATTTGGTAATGTTTCATAGCATAGGGGTGCCTGGGTGGCTCAGTTGGTTAAGCTTCTGGCTCTTGCTTTCTACTCAGGTCGTGATCTCAGGATCCTGGGATCAAGCCCCAAGTTGGGCTCCACACTCAGTGCAGAGTCTGCTTGAGATTCCCAACCTCTCTCTCTGCTCCTGCTACTCATGTGCTCTCTCTCCCTCTCTAAAATAAATAAATTTTAAAAAAATGTTCCCTAGCATATCAAGTTTTTTAGAGGCTCTGCTTTTACCAGACTGTTTGGAGACTTTTCTAAGTATTTGGCAGTTCAGAATATTAAATGGAGATCTACAATGGTCTCATTATGAAGGGGAGGGATTAGTAAAATCCTGCCCAAAGAGATGAACTAAATAGACTTTTAAGAATCCTTTCCTTAGGTGCCTGAGTGGCTCAGTCAGTTAGGTGTCGGCCTTCCACTCAGGTCATGATCCTGGAGTCCCGGGATCGAGTCCCACATCAGGCTCCCTGCTCAGCAGGGACTTCCTCTGACCCTCCCCTGTCTCGTGATCTCTCTCTCATTCTCTCTCTCTCAAATAAATAAATAAAATCTTAAAAAAAAAAAAAAAGAATCCCTTTCCTTAAGAAAAAAACCAAACCAAACCATTGTGAGTGTGTGAGGTGATGGATGTTAACTAGGCTTCCTGTGCTGGTTATTTTGCAGTAAATACATAATATTCGATCATTTTACACCTCATACTAATAAGGTGTTATGTGTTTATTATATCTCAGTACAACTGGTGGGGAATGAAGGGGGTGGGGGGAAGAGTGCCTTTCCATCTGGGGCATCTGGGACGCAATGTGTGTTTGTGAAAATAGGAATGACTGCCCTCCCTTCCAAAGCAGTGGGCCCTGTCCGTTGCTCAGCTGCTCAGCAATCTTGCTTTTGTGTTGAGACCAACAGGAGAAAAGGAGATCTCTAGAAGGGAGCTGTGTGAGGTGACTATGAATTGCTCAGAGGGAAAACGAAGCAGCCGGCTCCAGATGTGGGGCGATGGTGTTAGCTGCAGGAGGACAAAGGGCCTCAAGTCCGTCTGCGGCCTTTCGTTGGTGCTATTGGCAGTTTCATGGGTGCTGAGAGTAAAACAGTGATGTGGGGGTGAGGTGTGGGCGTGGAAAGGTGCTTTGTAATTGAGCCCCCTTTACCAACCATTCTGGTGGGATTTCCATTTCAGACTTCCTGTCAGAAAAAGCAGCCTTGTGTAAAGTAATAGGCCTCTGGGTGTGATCCCCATGTAATAGAAGGTGGGCCAAGCCCACCGTTTGGGTGACTCATGTTGGTTTCTATCCCACCAACTTGTCTGTCTGGAAAATCCTGCAGGTTAAGGTCTGGTGGTGATTTTTTTTTTTTTTTTAATTTCACTTACCAGGATGCTCATTTAAAAAAATGGTGAACCCTGATGGGGCTAGCCACTGCAGGGAGGTGGTCTTCCCCTGAGAAACGACACACTTTAGGATGAGTGTCTGGCCTTCCTCCACGGTGACTGTTTCTGGGTGGTTAGTCAGAAAGGCTTCTGCAGAGGAAGAGAATTGGGGACAGTCAGGCTGGCATGGGCCAAGACACACTCCCAAGCCAAGGCAGGGACTTATTCTTAACACAACCTCATTCATTTATTCAGTCATTCATTACATACTTTTTTTTTTTTTTTTTTTTTTGTGAGAGAGAGAGAGCACACAGCGGCAGAGGGGCAGAAGCAGAGGGAGAGGGAGATAGAATCTTAAGCAGGCTCCATGCTCTGCATGGAGCCCAATGTGAGGCTCGATCTCACGACCCTGAGATCATGACCTGAGCCAAAATCAAGGGTCAGGTGCTTAACCGACTGAGCCACTCAGGTGCTCCTCATTACATAGTTCTTAAGAAACAAAGCCCAAATCAATACAAAGGAGCAAGCACCGTACGTAGGAGCAGTAAGATGTCTCCTGAAGGAGGTCTGAATGAAGGGGTGGGATTTTGATAGGAAAGAAGGAAAATCTTGAGTAGTATCTATTGGGCACTTGCTCTCTCATATGCCAGGAACTCTGCCAGCCCACGTTAACTTATATTTAATTTAACTTTTTGAACTAACCCTATGAAGAAAGAATTATTTTGCTGGCTTTCTAGATGAAGGAATAGAGGCTGAAGGTCACACAGGTCCTGGGGCTGGGAACTGTACCCATGTCTGTGGGCTTCAGAGCCCATGGTCATATAACTAGGTCAGATTATTTAAATAATGAGACCCCAGAAGAGTCAGGCTTTCTGGTCTCAATTTGTGAAACAAGTGACTTGTGGCTTTAAGTATAAGCTATGTGTCTAGGGGCGCCTGGGTGGCTCAGTCGGTTAAGCGTCTGCCTTCGGCTCAGGTCATGATCCCAGTGTCCCGGGATCGAGCCCCACATCGGTCTCTGCTCATCAGGGAGCCTGCTTCTCCCTCTCCCTCTGCCTGCCTGTCTGCCTACTTGTGATCTCTCTCTCTCTGTCAAATAAATAAATAAAATCTTTAAAAAAAAATAAGCTGGGGCGCCTGGGTGGCTCAGTCGTTAAGCGGCTGCCTTCAGCTCAGGTCATGATCCCCGAGTCCTGGGATCGAGTCCCACATTGGGCTCCCTGCTCAGCGGGAAGCCTGCTTCTCCTTCTCCCACTCCCCCTGCTTGTGTTCCTGCTCTCGCTGTCTCTGTCTCTGTCAAATAAATAAATAAAATCTTTAAAAAAAAAAAAAAAAAAGCTATGTGTCTAGGATTCCAAGTGGTGTTCACAGGGAGTAGGTAAGCCCCACCAGCAAAAGAGCTTCTATGCCAGAGGAAGAATGTTCTAAGATCTCTTCCAATTCAATTGTCTACAGAAACACTTTCTCCAGGCAAACATGAGAGTCTAATTTCCCCAAATCACAACCCCCAGAGAATGATAAACAATCGGTTGTAAGCAGCTGCAAATGCAATCTCCCAAAAAGGAAATTGATAAAAAATAAAATAAATTGGCTTTACTGCTGATTTGGCACATTTATTGCCATGTTATTTCTTCAAGTTTTAAATTAAAAAAAATCTTTTTTTTCTGAGGACTAGACAAGTCTTATCAATGAAAGTACAAAACATTTCCATAAACAGAAGAATGTTGTGGGGTTATAAATTATGAATTGCAAATGTAATGAGTTTTACTGCATCATCTTAAACCTTAAAAAAAAGAGAAAGAAACAAGGAGTTTATTTCCTTGTGATAAATTTCAAGTATTAGGAAAAGTGCTTTGGAGAGCCCTGGGAATTAATTGGTGTAGACTTTTTAGTTTGTTCCATTTTTAGGTCATTAATTTCAATCTAGCCTCTGGCAGTAATAACCCAGAATTGTTGTATTGTATTCGTATTGACTTTCATGGGAAAAAAGTTTGCTTGAGTTCTAATGGAAAAATACCCATATCATCAGCCAATACTGTAATGAACAATGAAGAGCCCATAAAAAGATACTGTGTTTTCATAAGAGCATTGAAGCATAAGCCCAGAATTCTGCTTAGGTTGGGTCATTTGGAAATATTTTCGTCTATAAAATCAATCCATAACCGAGTAATAAAGATAATATTAGTAGAGATGCTTTGAAATGACAGTGGAATTTCTTCTAAGGTTAAGGAGCTTCTGAGCCAAGAAATTAAATCTAGAACTGTCTACCTTCCATTGCTTCCATAATCATTCCCATCTTGATTCTTGCTTTACTTTCTAGTTCCTGTGCGTTATCCTGCTTCCCACAGATTGAAGTTTCTAGAGGGCAGTGACTATTTTATATTTCTCTAAAATTCATTCCTTATAGAAAGTATCACAGTGTGAGCTTGAAAAAAATGGTTTAATACCAGCTTTCATGATGGCAGCATAAAGCAGGTGATGGACAGATATCTTTGGTCTCCTGTTGTTAATAAGAATACTGAGAGACAGGAGGGAAGTTACTATGTTGAATCCATGATAGAATAAAGACCACTGTTAAAGAAGCATGCCCTAATTTCATCCTTCAGGCCAGAAGTTGATACTAAAAAGTTTTGCCCATGTTCTTACCTTTGGCAAAGCGATTGTCTAGACAGGAAGCCTGCGTTTGGGGAAATGGGAGTGGTGAGATTTATCTGTAGCCTGTTTATGAATAAATTGTCTTCCATTTTAAAGATGTCTTTTTCTTGGGATGTGTTATTTGATTCTTACAATGTTTAAAAAATTGTAATGAAATATAGGGTGGTTTTTTAGCACATGCTAAAGAATTGTATCTCCTAAGATTAGTGTTTGCTCTTGTTGAGAATTTAGTATCAGTCTACTGACCACAACTATAAATGCCTGGGTTTCACATGGAAAGGGCTGTGTTTGAGGCATATAATAATTGCTGTTTCCTCTTCTCTGCTCCAAGCCTTGCCTTTAGCTTTACAGGCTGATTTCTCTTTCAGTGTTATCATGTAGGCCCCATGTTTGATTTAGAGACAGGAGATCATTGTAGAAAGGAAGAACAGCCCCAAAGAGAAGCCACAGACACACAGTGCTTCAGCTGTGAGTGCTTCCAAATATTGTTTGGTGTGTCCAACTCTGCTAAAGTTTAGGAGAGGAAGATCCCTGTACCTGCATTTTGATGGTACGTCTTCTAAGGGCAAGTTCCCCAGGATTCTCTCATTGCCGTTGCAAACTAAACTGGAACTCATTTTTTATATATAAATATTTTTTCGTCTAAGTTTGGAGTCAAACTTTCACCTTCTTTGTCAGAAGGAGGGGTGTGGGTTACCTTCTTTGCTCACCACTTCCTCCACTGTAGGCTCTAAAAACACAGATATCCTTATGCACCCTTAGCCTTTCTCATGTAGATCCTGAGTGCTGTGTGCCTACTTCCTGGGCTCCCCGGCTGGGCTTCAGAGTTCCAGTCTGTTTGTTAGCCCTACGTGGCTCCAGAGATACTAAGCATGCAAAGTGTGGCAGTGAATAGCTAGGGAGTTTCTCCTGGGAGGTCCCCCTTTACTGCTGGCGGGTCATGTTTACTGAGTGGATTATTGACTTCTGACCAGATTCATCCATCCATGCAAAGCCACGTGTTATGAGGCTGCTGGTTGACTCTGGGGTTATAGATTGTGACTGGTTTATATATGGAAATAGAACCTGTGCCCTTCATCATCTCCACCCCCAACTTTATGAACTAATGGTCTTATCAGTGCAGTGGCTTCACCCCAAAGCACATGTGACTGACCCTCAAGCAAAAGGCCAAGGAGCAGTCACAACCACCTACCAAAGCACACACAGATGAAACCTGTGCAGTTCTTAAGATTCCTTCTGGTTTTCCCCAAGATTTTGGGAGTTGCAGTGTCTGATCTCCCCTCTACTAGAGGTTAGCATGGTAGACTGAAGAAAGAGTAAAATGTTCTTTTTTTCCCCTTACCTTAGTAGCCCATGATTGCATGCAATAAATTTAAAAACTCCAGAACACAACGAGTCTATTCTGCAGGGACCCCAAACTTGTCATTTTCCATTGGAATTCATCATTTCTAGTGTGTCCCCCTAGGCTCCACCACACCTAGCACAGATAGACCACCTGCTCCGTTCCACTGTTTGCTTGTATCTAATGTGGTCACCAGCCACGGCCGGGTCCGGGCTCAAGAAGACACTTTGCCTTTGTTCATGCTGTTCTACTGACCTGGATACTTTTTTTTTTTTTTAGAGTGGGGGAGGGGGCAGAGGGAGAAGGAGAGCAAGAGAATCTTAGGCAGGCTCCATGTCCAGCGAGGAGCCCGAAGCAGGGCTTAATGCAGGGCTCGATGCAGGGCTCCATCTCATGACCCTGAGATCATGACCTGAGCTGAAATCAAGAGTCAGATACTTAACTGACTGAGCCAACCAGGCACCACCAGCCTGGATACCTTTCTTATCTCCTCCAAGACTCAACTCATATTATACCACTTTTGTCAAACCTGCCTAACCAGTCTTTAGCTTCCTCCTTCCCCACAATGACCTGCCATCTCCTCCAGATCCCTAAAGGTTTTGAATGGACTTCGATTACAGCACTTAGCACCTTGCTTTATATCTGGTTACAAGTATCTCTCTGCATGGAGATTGCAAACTTCTCATAGAGAAGTTGTTTGCCATTCATTCATTTTACAGTCCCAGGACCTAACACAAAGTAAGATTTAATTTAATTTTTTTCAAAATAAGATTTTAAGTATTGGGCGCCTGGGTGGCTCAGTTGGCTGGGTGTCTGCCTTTGACTCAGGTCATGATCTCAGGGTCCTGGGATCGAGCCCCGTGTCAGGCTCCCTGCTCAGCAGGGGGTATGCTTCTCCCTCTCCCTTCCCCTCCTGCTTGTACTTTTTTTTCTCATGCTCTCTCTCTCTCCCAAATAAATAAAATCTTTTAAAAAAAGATTTTAAGTATTGAATTAATGGCTAAAAACGTGGACATCTATATATTCAGTAATAAACAGTGTAATAGGATGCCAACTTGGCTCAAAAAGTGAAAGTCAGTTAAGGGCTTTAAACTTTGGAATAATTGAAAACATTCTAATTTTAGCTGTCTAAATGTACTTTTCCTGAATGTATGAGCTGTTTCTTTAAGCCACTTATTGAAGAAACTAATATTATTTATTACCAAATACTGAATTCATATTAAGTGCCTCAGAGTATAGGGATGAAAAAAGAAAGCACTTAATAATTGTATAAAATAGAAAATTGAAATACTACATAAAATAGGAAATCTAGTTTTTTAAAATAGTGTCATTCAGATACAGTTCTCTGGTGAATGCAGATTTAGAAGGATGGGTGCATTACTTGAAACATAACTATAATTCAGTTCAATATTTGGAAACACACACAACAAGCAAGCAATACATTTAGGCATGGCTTCTTTTTTAAGACTTCGGTACAAGTTGCAATCAGAGATCTAGAGATTCCCTACACCCTGCCCCTCTTTTGATCAGGAATAATTTGACCTGTGTTAAAAAGGTAACAGTGTCTTAAATTTTCATCATGCTCCATTAGAATTCAGTAAGCATCAAAGATCAAATTTGAAAATTATAATACAATGTAAAGTATAACTGACTGAAAAAAATAAGCAGGAATTTTCCATGGGGCTCACTATTATCTCTGAACTAATGAAGAGTTGTAGAGCACTTGGCCATCTTCAAAGTGCTTTCACATTTTGAAATTTGATCCCTTTAAAAATCCAGGGAGTTTGGCCGTCGAACATTATTAATCATCTCTTCATTTCAGGATGCAGACACTGAGTTTTTAGAGAGCTTAAATTATCTGGCTAAGGCTTATACAGCAAGGAAGCTTTTAAATTCCCACACTGATGCTCTTCTACCTGGTATGCACTTAAGAGACAGAGCCTACTGAGCTCGTCGCACTTTGCCCTAACATATACGCCACAGAGCACAGTCTATGGTGGCTCTTCCTATAATTATTAGCAATTGAACAAGAGATTAAATAAAGCAGTAACATCCTGCATGTGTGATGGTGGTGTAGCTCGGAAAGTAATCACATACTTACCTGGGTTGTCTTCTCGCCGTAGGTCCTCTGTGAATGCAGGTGACTGATAGGTAGATTTGGTAAAATACCAGGTCAAGTGAGTATCATCAGAAATGAGCTCCAAGTCCTTACCTTGTAAGGGGAACCAGGCCAGCAAGCTGCAAAGTCTCCACCACATACTGTGCTGGGCTGTTGCCACACTTTGTCAACTTCCTCTAGATTCTGAAATGAAGGGAGCAGAGTGGTTTCTTTTGAAGGGGGAGAGGTAGCAGCTCCGTGACCTCATGTGTCTCAACGCCTCCCTTGGCTCTGGAAGCCCCCTCTTGGCTCGCTGCCCCCAAAATACCTCCGGGTGGAACGTTTAGGGGACTGCATGTGTCATGTCGACGGTGGAGAGATGTGAGTGATGTGTTGGTGGCCCAAATCATTCTGCCACATGTGGGTAGTACTGGTAAATCAACTAGGTTGTGAGGCTTTTGTGGGGAGGAGGGGTGGGAGAGAGACTAAAATTTCCCTGTGTGGTGATGTAAACTGGTTGTCACTTTTCTAGAGTATTAGACCATGATAACAGGACAATTTTGGCTGAACCTTTGTGAATATTTCATTTCTGACAATTATTTATAATGGTTTTCAGGGGCAGAATTCATTCATTCACGTTATTTGATTTAAAAAATCTGTATCAATCTACCCTACCCACCTATCCATTCATTCGTTTACCCATCCATCTACATCTATCCAGCCATCTAGTATGGATTGTTCTAAGACATCCTATATAAAAGATAAATTCCTTGTTTTTAAGGAGAATATGACATAGTTGGGGGTGACAATAGGCAAATGAACCATTTTGGTTTTTAATTGTCATTAATTGGGCAAATTGAGATATATTTCATTTTTTCTAGGCCATACAGCAAAAATACTAATAGATGCATGGTTAAAAAATAGTCTAGACTGCAATGTTAGGAAAATTATAAAGGAAATAATAGTCACTGGTTCTAATTAAAATGATGGGGCACCTGGCTGGCTCATTTGGCAGAGCATGTGACTCTTGATCTTGGGGTGGTGAGCTCAAGCCTCACTTGGGTGTAGAGATTACTTTAAAAAATAATATAATAAAATTTAAAAGCAAAAATGACTGTTGTTACTCTGTAAATGTATTGATACTTTGGGTGGAGAAAATTTTATCCATCAAAAATGTCTCTCAAATATTTTACCTTTTTTCTTATTTTTTTTAATGGATTTTATTTGAGAGAGAGAGAGAGAGAGCAAGCAAGAGAGTGTATAAGCAGAGGGAGGGGCAAAGGGAGAGGGAGAGAGAGAATCCTCAAGCAGACTCTGCTGAGCATGGAGCCTGATGTGGGGCTCAATCCCATGACCTTGAGATCATGACCTGAGCCAAAATCAAGAGTTGGACACATAACCAACCAAACCACCCAGGCGCCCCTCAAATATTTTAGCTATTTTAACAGATAGAATGAAAAGAGGAGAGAAAATAGAATTTTTTTGTAGGGTGTAGCATGATATAAGGTAATGTTTCCCAAATTGTATGATGATAGAAAGGCCTTGGGCTTCCAGCCAAAAAAATGCAGTTTGCTAGGGTCAGCCCCAGAGTGATTAAACCAGAATCTCATTTGAATGAGTGTCCACCTGTGTATTTAACAAGCTCTCTGGGGGATCATAAGGCAAGTTTGAGCAACACGGACAGTATTCTGGAACAGAAATCAAGACATGTAGGAGCTAGCCCTCACTCTGCTACCAGCTGGTGTGCCTGGGGTCAGAGAGGAGTCTCCATAAATTGCTTGTTGACTCTATTGACATATATTGACTTGTTTATGGAAACAGGGAATGGGTAAGTTGTATCCGACCATTTTTTTTTTTTTTTTTAAATAGAGAACTAAGGAGTTCGCTTGAAGTGACATAGTGTGGCGGAGCTGAGAAGACAAGCCAAGACTTCAGGCTTTGGTCTGATTTTTTTTTTTTTCATGAAATTCCCTCCAGTTTTCATATGTAAGGCTCTATGGTGTCTAAGCATTTGATTTTCCTGGTACTTCCATGTCCTTGCTTTAGGGTGATGCATTGTTTTTGTACCCTGTCTCCTACCTCCTTAAGAAAGTCCAAGGAACCGGGTATAAGGTGTCTCTTTGGGCCTCCCATGGCAGATGTGAATTTCTCATGGGTAGTTGATAATTTCTCACATTTTTCACCTGGAAGAGTGCTATTCCTTATAGGATCTCCTAACGTGTCCTGTCAAGGCACAGAGGGAAAGGAGTTTACTTCTGGTAATATAACATGGGCCATTGTGGAGCCAACATCTTGTCTGGACCTAAATACTGATTTTCCAACTTGTGAATTTATCCTCTAACTCGAATGTATGAAGAGGTCAAAAACCACTTTTACAGGAAACAGAAGTAAAAATATCATCATGGGACTCTTCATTTTAGCCAGTGGAAAAAAGTCTTTGTCCAGCTGTGAATTAAATTCAGATGGGGGCCTGGAGAAGGATCACTTTGCTTTTCTCTCTCTCCCCCCCTCCTTTTTTTTTTTAAACATTTATTTATTTGAGAGAGAGAGAGTGAATGAGTGAGTCAGTGCCGGGGGAGGGGCAGAGGGAGAGGAAGAGAGAGAGAGAATCCTTAAGCACACTCCCCACTGAGCTTGGAGACCAATGCAGGGCTCCATCCCAGAACCCTAAGATCATGACCTTAGCCAAAATCAAGAGTTGGACACCTAACTGACTGAGCCACCCAGGTGCCCTTGCTTCTCTCTTTTCCAGTGGTGGTTTTCTGTAATTTTCTCTGTTGGGTAAAAATGTATGGAAACATAAGTGAAAACAGAATGAATATAGGACTTAGGGGATGAAAGAATAAAATATCCTGAGATTGAAGTTAAAATTATAGTGTAGTCCAGCCCAGATCTATTGATTTAATGTGATTTTAGTGCAATACCTGTGAATGGGTTTCCGTGAAACGTTCCAGGTGTTCATTTAACTGCAGACAGGTAGATTTTCTGTTTTCTTCCCATTCCCTTTCTAAAACACAAATATTCTTCTGCTCAAAAACTTCCAGTGGTTTCTTTTTGCCTGAAGATTGTAGTCCAAACTCCAGCAAATCATCAAAAGCCATTCACACACCCTGACATCAATCTACTTTTCAGCCCCCCTTCTCTACCCCGACTCAAAATATGCTCACAGAAAATTCTTGCTATATTTCAAGCATATAGTAAATTTTGTTAGTCACAGTCTTACTGGGTCATAGTTCATACTGCTCTCTCTCTGCCCAAAATGGCCTTCTCTCTCAGGAGATTCTAGTCCTCTTTTAAGGCCCAGATATAATGTGGCATTTCTCAGGAGTAGGGACTAGTGATTCAGAACATGGATTCTGGAGCCAAAGCCTATTTCCTCACCTGTGAAATGGGTATAATGACAGTGCCCACTCATATGGTTGTTATAAGAATGAAAGAAGTTAATGCGCATAGTTAGCCATTACTGTCCTCTGTACTTCTAGAAAAAAATGACCTCTCTACTTCTCTTTGCCCCGTAATTAGTTTTTCTTTTTCTCATACTGGTTTTTATTCTGATCTGCATTCTATTTCATTGAGTATGCATCTGTCTCCCTTGCTAGTCCCCCAGCTTCCTGAACACAGAGTTTGCTTCATTGGGAACCTTGGTGTTCCCGGCACCCATCCTTCCACGGTGTAGTTGTTTTTCAAGTAGCTTTACTGAGGTAACTGATATAATGAACTCTGCCTATCAGAAGTGTACAGTTTGATACATTTAGACACATGCATACACCGGTGAACAGCTTCATCACCATCAAGATAGTGTACATGTTTCCTCCCGTCCCTCTCTACCTCCCGTCTTGAAGCCACCACTGATCTGCTTTCTGTCTCTATCGATTAGGTTTTCATTTCCTAGAAGTTTATATAAATGGAATCATACAGTATGTACTTTCTTTTGTCTGGCTTCTTTCACTCGGATAATTATTTTGAGGCTCCTCTGTGATGGAGCATGTGTTCAAGGTTCATTCATTTCTAGTGCTGAGTAGTGGCTCATTCTATAAATATACCGCAGTTTGTTTACCTGTAGCTGGATTTCCGGGTCATTTACCATAGGATAGTTTGTTAGTTTATTTTTTATTTATTTATTTAAAAGATTTTATTTATTTATTTGACAGAGAGAGACACAGCGAGAGAGGGAACACAAGCAGGGGGAGCGGGAGTGGGAGAAGCAGGCTTCCCGCTGAGCAGGGAGCCCGATGATGGGCTCGATCCCAGGACCCCGGGATCGTGACCTGAGCCGAAGGCAGAGGCTTAACCGACTGAACCACCCAGGCGCCCCGTTATAGGACAGTTTTTTTTTTTTTGCAATGAAATATATCATTTTTTATTCAAAATTCAATGATTACAATTAGTTACAATAGAAAAACTATTAACACAATATTATGTGGTGGTACTATAAATGAGGCATTTCAAAAACAAAGATATTTAGTCTGAGTAAAAAAAAGAATGATTGTTATTTTCCGTAATTTGTTTGTGTTTTGCTATACCAAAGCCTGTCATTATGAAATAGTTCAATCATATACTAGGAACATAATGAGGATACTGAGTCTGAAGTCTATGATGTCTACACTGAGAGAAATATCCAGAGACAAATCAATAAGCACCAATTTCCTGGATTCTAAGACACATTGTTAATTAAAATTTTTTTTTCCAGGAAAAACAAATTAAAAATGCTGTAATTGTACATATATTTACAATAGTAAGCTTCAAAAATGCTAAGGTATAGGACAGTTTTTAATAATTGTTTATTACATTGAATCAGTTGTAGGGTGAATTTAAAGAGAACCTGGTATGTTCCCACATTTGTTTTTCATGATAATCTAATTCAGAGAAAAAAGTTCAGGTTAGTTAAATTAAATGCTGGTCCTTAGTTGGCACTTGGGGGGTACACTCTGACATGCCACCCAGATTCTCCCCTGACCCCCTAGGGGCTGGAAGGTTGGGACATGCCAGCTGGGTCCCTCTCTGGGAATTGCTGTTAGTGGAAGAGACCCGTCTCACCCAACATCCTCCCTCCTCCATGGGGCACCCAGGAGGAGACATAGCAGTTCTGTCCTCTATCTTAAGGTGGAGCGACTCTGAAGGGAAACATTCTAGCTCCAGAGCCCTCTGCGGGATCAGGATCAGGGGAGGCCTTTGTGGCCACTGGG